AATCCCCGAATTATTCAAGGTCAGCTGTATAAAGAAACTTCATGTGCTCATCACCCAGCTTTGGTAAGGTCAGTTTTAGCTACTGTCATAAGATACCATAGACTGGGTGGCTTATAAACAACAGGAATTTCTCTCTCACAGTTCTACAGGCTGGAGGTCGAGCTCGGGGTGTCAGCATGGTCATGTTCTGGTGAGGGCCCTCTTCCAGGCTGCACACTGCCAGCTTCCTAGGGCATCCTCATGTGGCAGAGAGCAGAGACGGGGAGCAAACCCTCATCTGAGCCTATTCACCTGTCCAAGGGCCCACTTCCTCGTACCAGCAAATTGGGGCATAGGATTTCAACATAGGAATTTTGGAGGGACGAAAACATTAAGTCTCTAACAAGTAATGGCTAATAATATGGCCAATTCTGGTTTACTGCTCGCCACTTTTGCCCCCTAGACATCGTATCATTTCATATAAATATACTTGTATATGCAGCTCCAAGAAAAAATATTTTTAATATAACCACGCTAATGTTAACCACACCCTCCCCAAACAAAGGCAACTCCTAAATACCCAGATTCTCCCAGTTGATTCGTAATGTCTCTTTACAGTTGTTTGGTTTGAATGAGAACCCAGACAAGATCTGTGTATTGCATTGAGCTGATGTGGCTCTGAAATCTCTCTCAGTCTGTAACTGTTTGCCCTTTCTATTGTCTTTTCTACCCCGTTTGTTTAAAAAAACCTGGTTGGTTGTGCAGTGGAACTCCTCTGTTCCAGGTTTGGCTGCTTGCATTCTCAGGGGTCATTTAACGTATTTCTCTCCTCTATTTCTTACAAGCTTATCAAATTCAGGTTTTGGGGTTTTTTTCATTTTGTTTGACTTTTTTTTTTGGCACAACTACTTCATGGGCAAGGCTGTGCGCTTATCATTGCCTCACATCAAAGACACATAATGTCCTCTTGTCTTTTTTTATGATTTTATGATAGTGGGTTAAAGTGTTGCTAACCTGGTCCCTCCATTATAAAGTTACTTGTCACTTTTATCCTAATGGTTTTAGGAAGTATTGATGATCATACTCCGGGTAGACGGTTTATTATTTTAACAGTGTGAATTTAAAAAAAAAAAAATGTGCTGTTCAGATATTTTTAAGAGGGCGCCTGGTGGCTCAGATGGTTAAGCGGCTGCCTTCGGCTCAGGTCATGATCCTGGGGTCCTGGGATCGAGTCCCGCATCGGGCTTCCTGCTCCTTGGGGAGCCTGCTTCTCCCTCTGCCCCTTTCTCTCTCATGAATAAATAAATAAAATTTAAAAAAAAAAGATATTTTTAGGAGATGTGGGCTACTGTTGTTTATGCATATGTATATATGTAAAGTATCTATTTACATACACATTTCTCTGTAGATGAATCCTCCCACAAAAATAGCTATTCTTTATGAATACTAAAAAATTGATGGCCATCTCATTTTACTAGTTTTAGACCAGGTAACTTATATGTAAGTAATCTGTGTAGCTTTCTGTACATTAGAACATACATTTTAATGTAAATTTGAACTTTCATTTCTTTATAGTGTCAGTGTTACAATGGAGTCGTCTTGGCCACTGAGAGTAGTGTTGCGGTGTATGGAATGCTAAATCTGACTCCAAAGGGCAAACAGGTGAGTAGATTGAATTTTGTACTGGGTGGGTAAATGTTTGTTTGTTCTCCAGTGTTTTTATTTGTACTTTTGGTATTTGGCAAATTAATGCACAGATGTGATGTACTTGCTGAATTTAGGATGCCTTTTCCTTTTCCAGTGAAATAAGTATACTGTACGACTCATATGATACAACAAACTCAGGGATTTCCAACCTTATAGAATTCCTAAATAATCTTGATGGGCCATATAGTATAGTCACTTTGCTGTGGATGCATGAATAATTTTTCAGCCAGGTAGAAATAAAAACAGTCTACCCAAAAAAATTCAGGAGAGAACAGTAATCTAAATCTGAAACTTTCTGAATAGAATTTGGAAGTCTCTTTTAGAAAAAGTTAAGTATAATTCTGATATTCAGAGAGTTGTTTCTTCTCCAACCAACAGGCACATAAGAGTTACTTGTTCGTAATTACTTTTCAAATAATTACTGTGGTTATATTTGTTGTCTTGGAAAGAAAACAAACAAATGTGACCTATTAACCACCAGAGGGAGCCCCTAGAGTCTGCCTTAATAGACTAGAAATAATCAGAGGGTCTCCCAGAGTTCATGTTAAAGAACCTACATTAAGCATAATATCCGATTCAAGTTCACTGATGTAATGTGATTTGCAAAACGGATTTGTCATGACATGTTACTTGCTATCCAGGGCTTGGCACCAAGATCTTGTATGTTCTCTGATGTGTGGCTTCTAAAATGAATCGCTTTTAATGGAATTATTAGGGAGAATTTGAATTTCTATCATATATCTGTTCCAAAGAGAAACAGCTTTTAGTAAAACCTTTGCATTTGAGGAGATTTTCAATGTCGATAAAATGTTATCTTAAATTATCAGGGAAAGGTTAGGAAGATACACCAAATGATAACAGTGGTTAGTAGTTACTCCAAGTTGCAAGATCATTTATTTTCTAGTTTGTGCTTTTCTTTTTGTGTGTGTGTGTGTGTGTGTGTTTTTTTTTAATTTTTTATTGTTAATGTTAATCACCATATATTACATCATTAGTTTTTGGTGCAGTGTTCCATGATTCATTGTTTGTTCATAACACCCAGTGCTCCATGCAGAACGTGCCCTCCTCAATACCTATCACCAGGCTAACCCATCCCCCTACCCCCCTCCCCTCTAGAACCCTCAGTTTGTTTTTCAGAGTCCATCGTCTCTCATGGTTCGTCTCCCCCTCTGACATACTCCCCTTTTCTTCCTCTCCTGTTTAGTTTGTGCTTTTCTATTGTTTAAAAATCGTGTGTGTATTCCCCTCTGAAAGGAATGTTAAATATCAAACTAAAATCAGATTATTGGGTCTTTGTGTCTAGAAGGGTAGGCTAATAATGATGAGGCCTAAAAATAGCTTACCAACAATTTTGACATAAATGAAAATCTCCAATAATGTTAGTTTTTTGTCTCATTCTTTCTCCTTTCTCCCCACCCCCCCTTTCTAAAATGGAGGCTCCGGGTGGCCATGAGCTGAGCTGTGACTTCTGGGAACTGATCGGGCTGGCCCCTGCTGGAGGAGCTGATAACTTGATTAACGAGGAGTCTGACGTGGACGTCCAGCTCAACAACCGACACATGATGATTCGGGGAGAAAACATGTCCAAGATCCTGAAAGCACGTTCAGTGGTCACCCGGTGCTTTCGAGATCACTTCTTTGATAGGGGGTACTATGAAGTAAGAGTGTGTTCATCATCTTTTGCAAACAAACACCTGCCATTTTTAAACTTGAATAGTGGCACTCACAATATGCCTTTATTTACTCCTCCTTTCCATTTGAACAGGTTACTCCTCCGACGTTAGTGCAAACTCAAGTGGAAGGAGGTGCTACACTCTTCAAGCTTGACTATTTTGGGGAAGAGGCATTTTTGACTCAGTCCTCTCAGTTGTACCTGGAGACCTGCATTCCAGCTCTGGGAGATGTGTTTTGTATTGCACAGTCATACCGGGCAGAACAATCTAGAACACGAAGGCACCTGGCTGAGTACAGAATTACCTTTTTATTTTTATTAAAAACATTATTTTTAAGAAAATATGTTTAGAGAAGCAGTCTTTATGTAGGCAAATGATGACTATGTAAAAAAATTTGATAAGAGGGTGTGTGGAGGGCAGTTCAACAAATTAATGGAAGCCATGTATGAAGTTTTGCCTCCTAGGCCATAGCTAGCGATGGTCTCTTCTTTCACTTTGCCTTGATCCTTTTCATGTTAAGGAATAAACAGGAAATCACTATTCAAGGGGGAAAGGTAGGGGTTCTAAAACTAATGTGCTGGATTGGGAGTTGGTTAGTGGTGCTGGAATTTTGCATTTCTGGGCAGTTTCGCGATGTTAAAATCCATGCTTGAGAGAAACCTGATGGAAAAGAAGAGCGGCTCCCAGATAATGTCTTGTTCTTCAGATACACTCATGTGGAAGCAGAGTGTCCTTTCCTGACCTTTGAGGAGCTCCTGAACCGATTGGAGGACTTGGTTTGTGACGTGGTAGATAGAGTCTTGAAATCACCTGCAGCGAGCATAGTGCGTGACCTCAACCCGGTAGGTGTGCTGTTTATGCAAATGCAAAGTCATGATTTTTTTGAGGGGGGGAAGGTAATGATGTCTTCACCCTCAGTTTTTGTAGATTTAATGGCTTAGTGAGCTTTGAAATAAGTGATATATATATAATATATATATCATTTATATATATAACATGTGTTTTTAGATAAAATTGATATATAACATTATATTCGTTTCAGGTATACAGCATAATGATTTGATAGTTGTATATATTATGAAATGATTACCATAAGTCCATTACTAGACATTGGTAAAATTTGTTCTTTCTTAGGATGCAACCTTCTAAGATCTACTCTGTTAGCAACTTTCAAATTTAGAGAGTATTGTTAGCTGACTCTATATATACGTATACAGTGCTGCACATTACATCCTCAGGACGGACTATTTTAAAACTGGAAGTTTGTACCTTTTGACCACCTTCATTCATTTCTGTACTTAATTATTTTTAAGAGTAAAATTTGATACTAGTCATTGCCGATAATTTTATAGTATCTTATTTAGGAGGAGGTCATGTATATTTTCCATTTTTAGGAATGTCTTTGGTTTTCTAGTCAGGAATAACATTTTACATTAATGACAAATAGTTTTTCTTAAAATGGAAATTTTAGTGTTATGGTTTCTTTATATACACTCTATTTTTTCTTTCTCTTGTAGAACTTCAAGCCTCCCAAACGGCCTTTTAAGCGGATGAACTATTCAGATGCTATTGTGTGGCTGAAAGAACACAATATAAAGAAAGAAGATGGAACTTTCTATGAATTTGGAGAGGTATGCGTTGCTTGCTGTTGCCAGGGTGGCATGGCGCGTAAGTAAATTGCTACTCCGGTTAATGAACCAGTAATGCAGGAGGCAGCTGCTCTTTGTCAAATAAATGGTAACAACAGAAGCTCCTCCTTGGGGTTGTCTGAGGATTCACTGAGTCAACAGATGTAGAGTCAGCCTTAGAACAGTACCTTTCTGTAATGTTCAGTCACAATTAGCATCATGGCAGCCTGCATAGCTCATCTTGTACCTCTTTTCTCTTCTTCCATGGTCAGTCCATGCTTGTGAGCTACTCTAGTGGTAACTCTCTAGGCTGGCAGGATGCTTCAAAAAGCTGTACACTTTACAGTTTCATGCAAAATGTTGATATGTATATATTCATTTTATTTGCCTGGAGAAAGTATCTGGCTCTTTCAAAAAGGCTGTCTCCCCTAAAGGAGTGTATTAAAACGTGGAGAAGAGTCAAAGGAGAAAATGGCTGTTGGTTAAAACGCAAAACCAAGAGAGAAGGCCTGGCTGGGGCAGGTGGTCTGGTGTCCCGGATACACAGAGCAGATGTATCGGACGTGTAGATTGTTGGCACTGTTAAGCCCTCTTCTGTGTGCATTTACCCATTTCTCACTTAGTATTTGCAAATCCATTTTATAGATAAAATAGGAGCAACTACCGCTAACTTGAGTTTTGTTTTATTTTTGGAAGGAATTTACAGAGAGAACAAACAGTACATTAGACCTATATAAATCATTCCCCATTTCATGAATTCAGTTGGTGATGAATAATAACAAAATTTTGTATTAAAAATTTAAGAAGTGTTGGCCTAGACGCCCGGAGCCAGCGCAGTGAGGACCATGTTGCTTCCGAACATCCTGCTCACGGGTACACCAGGGGTTGGAAAAACCACACTAGGCAAAGAACTTGAATCAAGATCAGGACTGAAATACATTAATGTGGGTGATTTAACTCGAGAAGGGCAGTTATATGATGGCTATGATGAAGAGTATGAATGCCCCATTTTAGATGAAGACAGAGTAGTTGATGAATTAGAAAACCAAATGAGCAAAGGTGGAGTTATTGTTGATTACCATGGTTGTGATTTCTTTCCTGAACGCTGGTTTCATATAGTTTTTGTGCTGCAAGCAGATAACAGTGTATTGTACAAAAGACTTGAAACAAGGGGTTATAATGAAAAGAAACTAAAAGACAATATTCAGTGTGAAATTTTTCAAGTTCTTTATGAAGAAGCATTAGCATCCTACAAGGAAGAAATAGTACATCAACTAACCAGCAATAAACCAGAAGATCTAGAGGATAATATCAATCAGATATTGAAGTGGATTAAGGATCATAGCTCCTGACTTACAAGACTGGCCACTTTACAACCACTCTTTATTATATCCCTGCCATAATGAATAAATTGTCCAATTGTCAGTAAAACTTTCTTATTAAGATTGTGCTGCAGGACTAGTAGATGGATAATCTAAAGGTTTATATTTGGGCTTTTTTTCTCCACGAGAAAGCAAAACATTCTCAAGTATAGTATATACAATATTATTAAGGATTTAGAGTAAAAACTGTCATCTTAAATGCTTCAACTGCTGAAGAATAAATAAATCTGACCAAATGGGTGGCTATCTTCTAAGCTGGTTACAAAAGAAAATGAAGATGCTCCCTTAAAATAAAACTTAAGACTAAGGATAAAAAAAAAAAAAATTTCAGAAGTGTTATTACCTAAAACTTAGCAAAGTAGTGTGATGGAGTGGAAAGAGCCCAGTCTTTGGAGTAAGAAGCCCCCCTAGGTGGCTTAGCTCCCAGCTGTGTCTTTACTGTTGTATGACAGATGGCCAGCGACCCCACCCTCTGTTCCTTGGAAGTCACATCTGCTTTGCAAACTTGTGAGGACGCAAAGCTAAATTCTTGGCAGGGTCCACGGCTCAGGAAGCCCTTGATGCTTGTCAACATTTATTGTACACTGATGGCATCCCATGCACATGAGGACACCAGAGTAAACGGTCTTCCGACTTCTTGGAATGTGCAGTGAGGCTGTTTCTCCCCAGTTAAATCTTACTCTAGTATGTAGAGCAGATGAAAGTTGAGAGGCCAGAACTATCCCACTCATCCCCCACAGGCCTCCAGGGACTGGGGCTTGATGACAGCTGTGCCGGGTGATTGCTAAGCTCCATTTGGGTTCTTACATTAAACAAATCAATGAGTCTTTTCGAGTTGCCTCAGTCAGTTTGTACTGGGACAAGAGTTTTCAGTTTTAACTTGAGTTTATGTGTGGTTTACTGAAGGATGTTTTGAGGGAGAAGCAGATTAACTTGGTTCATCATCATCTAACGTTTCTTGGCTAAGTATTCCAGGTATGGTTACACTTAGAAATTTCACACTGGTTATTTGTCTTATGACTCTGTCTTACTTCCTATTGAAGCCATATAGATTTACTATAACAGGAAAGAAGTACAGATAACAAGAAAGTTTAAAGATTGGTGTTACTAATAACACATTCTGTGCATAGACCGATGATGTTCTGGAGCATTCACTGATTATCTTATGCCTTATGGGACTAAGTGGACTACGTTTGCTTCAGAGCTAGATAAAACTGGCCACTGAAAAAAATAACTACCAGTATCTAGTCCCAGTGAATAATAGCTTTGAGTGGTTTGTTTTTTGTTTTGGGGTTTTTTTGGGGGGGGGTGTTTGATTCCTCAAGCAGCATGGCGCTTGAGTTATACTGTAGAAGGAAGCGGATCTTTTTGCAATTGGTTTAATAACTGAGTGTGAGTTTTAAAAATATCTTTATTGTTTTTGGAAGAAATTGTTGCTTCCACCCATGTGTATGGGTTGTGGATGGGTGTGTATTCTGTGCTATGCTACATTAATAAGAGGAAGGGCTGCTGGTGGGTGAGAGCTGCTTCTGTCTTAATGCCTTTCGAGTTGTAAATGTTAATGAAGTCTTGTTTAACCTCAGGATATCCCAGAAGCTCCTGAGAGACTCATGACGGACACCATTAATGAGCCCATCTTGCTATGTCGATTTCCTGTAGAGATCAAGTCCTTCTATATGCAGCGATGTCCTGAGGATTCCCGCCTTACAGAATCTGTCAGTTTGTGATTCAAACAGTATTAGTAATTTTGCTTTCTAGGGGGGTGGGGACTGCCACTGTAATAAAATAGAGTCATGGCAAATATTTCATTATACATCTAGCATGGCAGTATTTAAAGAAGTGGCTTTTGTCCTCTGATTGGGCTTAACATACCTTGTTAAATTATAGGATTTGAATATTTGAATATTACATGACCATAGTTTAATGTGATGAGTTTATGAGTTTCAGTTATGAGTTTAATTGTGATTTTCCTTGAAACTGTAGCCTGGTAGTAACTGCATTTTATTGACTTGTTTTTATAGGTTGACGTGTTGATGCCCAATGTTGGTGAGATTGTGGGAGGCTCAATGCGTATCTGGGATAGTGAGGAAATACTGGCAGGTTATAAAAGGGAAGGAATTGACCCCACCCCTTATTACTGGTACACAGATCAGGTAAAAACAGTTTTGTGGGGTTTTTAACACTCTGTAAAATGTTTTCATTAGAATAGTTCTGCATAAATTGGAATTTTTAAAAGGAGAGAATTCAGTGTGGTTCTTTGGTGTGGGAATGAGTTGTATTCAGTTTCATGGTTATAATGTGGCATATAACTGTTGCTAGTTTTGTCTTTGTCTAATAATATGTTGACTTCATTTGAAAAACTACTCAGCTGCTGGCCTTGCTCAATGCTACTGAGTTTTTAAAAATTTGTTGTTAGACCCTACCAATATCTAGTGCTGTCTCACATTTTCCTCTGATAAACAGCGACATTGACTTAGTTGAGAAGTTTGAAATTCAGGTGACACCGAATCCCTGGTTTATTTTTCATACCAAATCATTTCTACACACGTGGTCCATGAAAGCTTCGAGATTAAGGGTTGAATTCTTAACCACACTAAGCTAACTCATTTCACAGTAGAAACTTAAAAATATTTTAGACAAAATTTTAAACATCTATTCTCTCTTTTTTTTAAACAGAGAAAATACGGCACATGTCCTCATGGAGGATATGGCTTGGGCTTGGAACGATTCTTGACCTGGATTCTGAATAGATATCACATCCGAGATGTATGCTTATACCCGCGATTTGTCCAGCGTTGCAAGCCGTAACTGATTCCTCCAGAAGCATTAAGGAAAGAACACAGTTTATGAAAGGAACAGACTGCCTCTTAACAAAACAAAAACAAAAAGCCAAAATCTTCCCTTTTTTATTCCATTGGTGTATAGCCATTTCTTTTTTCTCCCACAAAAAGCAATCCAAATCATGTGAATATCAAGTGATGTCAGTGTTACCATTTTAAGAAACAATATCCATCACAAAGTTTGGGGAAAATATGTGGCATGTAACACTACAGTTCTAAGTCTATCCAATTATAGGTTATAATTTTTGCATCATATGTACCACATATATAATTAAACAGATTTTAATTATGATCTAAGACATTCCAGTAACTTAATCTTTCCGTCCCTTTAAGTGTAACTGGAATTCTTTACTTTGTATCATTTTATTGTATAGGCGAGTTAGAACAAACATCTTGGGGGAAAATTGACAATGTGGTGTAAAAATCTGCTAGTATTAGAACAGTGTAATTCATTGATAGATACTGGAATCAAACGAAGACAGTTTTGCATTGGTCATTAATCTTTTCTAATTCTGTAGAGCTACTTATAATTCTAAAGCATACGAATGGATGTGGAGAAATCTTTAAGAAATGGGAATTTTGCGTTAAACGATTTGAAATAATAGCAAATTCTTTTTTTTTTTTTTTTTTTTTTGTTCCTTGCATCAGTTTAAGCTAAAGAGGCAGAGTGATTTTCTCTCTTTCCTGGTAGTTTCTAAGTAATTAAGAATAAATAAGTTCCAAAAGAATTTGCAGCTGGAATCTTAATGACAACTGTAAGTTGCCGTTTGACTCTTCCCACACTGTGACTTTAGATCTAATCTGCTACCTTATTAACTCCTAGAAGGCTTATTGAATGGCCTCATTTCAGATTTGGTTAATTTCTCTCCCAAAATGCATGTCATGTATTCTCAATGGGCTGTATTCCCAGCAATCAATAAATGGACACATAAAAACTATTTGCTGGCTTTAATTTTTCTAAAGCTGAACACCTCAGTCTTACATTGGTTCATGTGTTTTGCACTTTTTTAGTCTTTTTATTTTTTATGATGTATATATGTGAAGTTAGATATTACTAAATTCAGTAGGTATTACTAAAAACACATGGTAATGAAAAGGAACAGTTTTTAAAAATTAGGTGTAGGTTCTAGTCATGTTTTATAATCTTCGTGTTATTTTTGGACACATTAGATTATATCCTATTTTTTAATTATGTGAAATGACAGATGGAAATGGGGCATTTCTAGTATATTTGGCCTGTATCTTTAAAATAAAAAATACTTGTAAGGATGTGAATGAGCTCTAATTGGATTCATCCAGGCAGTTTATTTGATCAGAATTTAAGGAAGAGGTTAGACCCAATTAACCTAAATTTTAATTGTGCAAATGAATCGGGAGTTTATATATGGAGGGAGAACTGTGGAATTAGGTGGGGATAAGAGCGTCAAGGTCATGGTGACATGATGCCAAGAATCTGAGCATGGTGAGCAGCAAACCCCATACATGTGGATTTTTTTTTCCCTTGACTGTGTCATTTTTGCTGCAATCTGGTGTCTCAGCCCCGTCCCGTGGCCCCGCCGTGTGTCCAGCACAGACACCCCAGTTCTGAGTTCCTGCTCCTATGGGACTCTCCTCTCAAGGCTCTTTCCTGATGTGGCTCTTAAGTCCATTCTTACACCAAAACCCTCTTTACCTTTGCTACTTGTGTAGCAGACCTGCTTGAGGTTTTGGAGACACATGGGAGGCTGATACTTCAGCAAATGGAATGACTTGGGTATTAACTTTCCCTCTTCCTGAGTGTCCTGCAGCCACTCCAGCCACCCTGCTTTTCCCTTGTTGCTCAGCCCCCCCTACCCCGCACCTGCTTGTCTAGCATTTCCTAATAATTTCTTTGTTAGTGTATAGAGCAGTTCAACTCTATTAGAAGCAACCTTCCTACACACTGGAATCACTTGGGAGACCTGAAAAATACTGGTGTCTGGGCCTTATCCCAGACAAATTGAATCCAAATTTCAGGGATGGGCCCATGATGTTTTTCAGAAGCTCCCCAGCGAGGCTTTTGCAGAGCTAGGTTGACCATCACTAAGTAGCTCCCTGCTACTTCTAAACTCAACCTTAAGCCTCTCTTATCACTGTAGGTCCTCATTTAGTTATTTCCCATTAGTCCCTGTAGTTGAAATGGGAAACTGGGCAAGGCGAAGCCTGTTCAATATCAGCCAATGGCTACAAAAACACTCCATGTGTTTCTATCTTTCAAAGCATATTGAGAAGTTCTCCCAAGTTATGACAGCTCCCACTAATGCAGGAGTGCCTTGTGTCAGGCCATGCCCTGTCCTGTGCTTTAATCCTCACGATAACCTGGGATAATTTGTTAGTCCTGTTAGCCCCGAGATAATGGCTGAGAAAGGTTAAAAGCTTGTCCAAATGGGGCACCTGGGTGGCTCAGTCGGTTAGGTGTCTGGCTCTTGATTTTGGCTCACGTCATGATCTCAGGGTTGTGAGATCGAGTCCTGCACTGGGCTTGGCATGGAACCTGCTTAAGATTCTCCCTTAAGCCCCCAGCCCTTTTGGGGAAGAAAAAGGATGTCATGATGTCCAAATACTGTAATAGTATTTGGTAATTGCTGGTGAATTAAATGATTGGGTTTCTTATGCTGAAAAATTTCTTTCTACCTCATGGATCATTACCATGTGATGGTAATGTGATGATTAGTGAGGAACGTCAGGTAGCCATAGTTACTTCTAACTTCCCACAGAAGCTTCTCCTGGAACCTCTGTCTTCTCTAGTCTGAATGAACCACCCTCTGTTCTTGGCACGGCTATCCTGGGGCCGTCCTTCACTCTCCCCTTTGCCTTTCTGTTTTGGACACGCTATTTCTGTATCGGACATCTATTTCCTATATCGCATGTTTCCCTCCCTGCTTCACTTCCTCATTTGGTGGTGCACATCCTCCAGTAGCCTACTGAGCAAGGGTGTGGGGAAAGGAAATTCACTGAGAAACTTGCATATCTAAACATGCTGTTAATCTATCTTCCTGCTCAAATCATAGTCTCCATATAAAAATGTGGGATAGCAAGCATTTTCCCCTCAGGATTTCGAAGTCCTGGCTTCTAGTGTTGCTGCTGAGAACTCCCAAGCCTTCTCATACCTGGTCCTTGATGTATGACCTGTCTATTTTGGAAATCTGTCCCCACTCGTCCAAAATTTCATGATGCTATTTCTTGGGACTTTGCATCCATCCCACTGGGTGGCTGACAGGCCCTTCACATCCGGGAAATCATGCCCGTGAGCTGTGAAAAAGCTTCTAAAATTGCTTCATTGAAAGTCTCTTCTCTCTTTTGCTTTCTTTCTAAAACTGCTACTATTCAGGTATTAGGCCTTTATTTATTTATTTATTTATTTATTTATTTATTTATTTATTTTTAAATATTTTATTTATTTGAGAGACAGTGAGAGAACACAAGTGGGAAGGGCAGAGGCAGAGGGAGAGAGAATCCCAAGCAGACTCCATGCTGAGCGCAGAGCCTGACACGGGGCTTGATCTCATGACCCTGAAATCATGACCTGAGCGGAAACCAAGAGACGGATGCTTAACTGACTGTGCCACCCAGCTGCCCCTTCAGATATTAGGCCTTTTAAATGTTCTTTTATCTTTTGTTTTGCTTGCTATTTTCTGGGAGTTAATTTTCCCCAATCTTTCTATTGGGTTTTTCATCTCTTAGCAGAGTAAAGGGGAAATTCTTATTCTGGCCTCAGA